GTAGTAAGTGATGTAGGATCTTTGGTGACTCGCGGCCAGGCACTCTTCCTAGGCCAAACTACCGCATAAGGTTGTTGCTTTGAAGAAACGTTGGATCGAGGAAGCACAATGCACGCCGTCCTGCCTTCCTGTTTGACAAAGCACGGTAAAAATTTTAAATAATCACAAGAGTACGAACAGCATCTAGCCAAGAATACGTGGCGGGGCTTGGAGGGGGGAGGGAGGAGGCCAGTTTTTCGGACGCACGTGGGTGGAAGCGCTTGCAAGGAAGCCTTCGGGCCACGCTCCGTCCGGCGCGCAGCTGGGGCGACTGGTGCGCGCGCGCGCCCCGAGCCCTCTCGGCCCCCCCCCCTTCCCTGGTAAGAAGCGGCTAATGGGCGCTCACCACATGGGTGCGTTCACCCACCGCCGGGGAAGGGCTAACGACCTCTTGGTCCCTGTGGAGGCCGCCGAAGTTCCTCGTTTCCCGTTTCCATTTTTCATCAGGCGGCGTCCGCCACAGAGGAAGTGTGTGTGTGTGTGGGGGGGGGGAGGTTGCTCCTCGGAAGGATCAGAGGCCCCGTTGTCTCGCAGGGGAGCCGGGCTGTGTGGGAAAGTCTCGCCAGCGCCGCGCCTTAGGCGGCCGGGGAGCTTCGCTCAGGCCCCGCCCTCGGGTTTCTCCCGCCCAGGCTCCGGAGCGCCGATTCTCCCACGCTCTCCTCCCCCACCCCACCCCGCTCCGCGCCCTCGTTCGCTTCCTCCAGCTGCCCCCTTCCCTCTCTCGCCCGCTCCCTCCCGCCGCGTCTCGCCTTCTTCCCGAGGCCTCCCGCCTTCTTTGTTCTTCGCTTGGCCCTTCTTGAGATGGGCGCCGCGCGAGGCTCGCTTCAAGGCAAACGGGAGCGGGGGTGGGGGGGAAGGGAGAGAGGCGGCAGGAGGGGAGGGATTGTGCGCGCGGTTGGTTCGCCGGAGTTTCTCTGTGTGTGTGTCATTTTCCCGCCTTCGCCGTCTAGATTGGGGGGGGGGTGTCCGGAGGGGATACAAGATATGGCGCCCTTCGAGGGAAGCTGAGCTTTAGGGCGCAGGAGCTAGAGGCGCGCACCATTTCTCTGGAAACCCAAGGCGCCCTCGCTTCGGCTCGAAACTTACTGAAGGGTGGCCATTTTTTTTCCCCTCCTTCTTAAGCTTGACTTTTTATTTATTTATTTATTTACTTCCTGCAAGATGGGCCTGAGTAGGCCTGACCCTGCTTCCTTCGCCCGGGTGGTTTTTCGCCTGATAGCTTCACAAAGTTGGTAGGCGGGAACGCTGCTGTTGTGTTTTTGGCTGTGATTTTTTTTTTTTTTTTTTTTTACAAAGCCAAAGCCGCGACGGGGCTTCTGATTGGGGCGGAAGGGAACAACACCGCCCACACCCCGCTATCTTCCGGAGTTTGTCCGCCTGTTTGTTCCGCTCCCCCCACCCCCACCGCTTTCTCGTGCCCGAGGCCGGTTGCGTGATTGCAACTCAGGCTGCACATTCACCGCCTCCGGGCGCGTTGAGGTTTATGCCTCTTAATCATCCCCTTTGGCAGCACATTCATCTCTTCCCTCCCCCCGCCTTTTTCCCACCCGCCACCCTGGGATGGTGCGAGCTGTGGACAGCCTGGCGATTCACCCCCTGCGCTCCCCGTGGCGCGTCTGGAGGACAAGAGAGCCTCTGCTGAAAAGGGCGCCTCGGCCTGGCCCCGGGCTGGCAGCCAAGCTTTGGCTCCTTCGCCAGGCTCCTGTCACCTTCCGGGCATCTGCTTAGGTGGACTCCTATCTTCTCTCTCGTTCGAGGACAGATCTGCCCAAACAGCACCTTCCTAAGATGTTAACAGAGGAACGGAGGAGGTGGCAGCTTCTTAATCTTTCTACTGACGCCCCGCCGCTGGCATTGCTGGAGGAGGAAGAGGCCCTTTGTCCGGGCAGGAAAATAAAAAATCTTTAGGAGGCTTTTAATCATTTCCAGAGAGGCTAAGTCCCCCGAACCACCTTGGCAAAAGCCGGGCAGTAAAAAGAAATTATGGAGAGACAGAGACTTATACAACAGGATTCCTAAATTTGCCTTTAAAAGGGGGGGGGAGTCTTCCACCTAATGCTTTTCTTACATCTTAAACTCCAATATTCTTTATTCTATCTGTTGCTGGGGATTATAGGAATCGAAGTTTAATACCCAGAAAAGGTACTAGCAGGGGAAAAAGTTTACACTGAATGAAATCCTTGTTCCTGCTCCTATGCAGGCTCTCAAATCGATCATGCCTATCATCAGGAAAAAGAAGAGGGACATTTTTCTCTTCAAAACTGAAGCAACACAGCCAGGGGTAGTTGTGGGGAACTGGAACACCAGTTTAAAGGCTTTCAGAATGTCATATTTATGGCTACAGAAGCGGCAGAGAAACAGGAAATCTATTGACATGCCTAGTTCGTATATTTAGGGTCAATGATCAGATTTGTCATTGAAACCAAGCAGATGGGCTATTTGTCAAGAGCGCAGCAAGTAATTTTACATGTAAGTCTGGATTTCATTCTTAACAATTATTTGAAATATTAAGAAATAAGTACTAAATACACGTCCAAAGGGTCAACTTACAGCTATAAAATGTAAGGGAAGGGGTCATAATCATAAAGAAAGAAAGGAGGCCACCTGAAGAAGCATCTTCCCCAGTAGACCCCAGCATAACCAGTAAAATATTTCTTAAGACCTTAAGAACCTGAAAGAGATTCGCACTTGATTTGAGGGCTCAGACTGGACACGCAGCAGCCTGTATTGTGAAGGGAAGGCAGGGAGAAGCATCCCTTGGCCTCTCCTGCCGAACAGTGAGCCAAAACAAGCTCTTTGGTGTTAGCTTTCCGATTGTCCCAGCATCCAACAAACTGAGATTCATTGTGGCATAAATAGTAACAATTTGTGAGGCTTTGTGGGGAGAGAAGGGGAGACAAATACTAATATACTGTATTGCCTTTAAAGACTGTATAGCTGTGTGCTGGATTTGGAATACAAGTGCAGTGAGTAGTGTATTATCAGCAGTAGAAGAGTGTCACCCTCATCTAGGGAAAGCCTGTGAATTGGGAGAAAAAAAAAATATAAATAACCAGACAGGAAGCCAAAATGGGGCAACTGCTTCCCAGATCTGCTGCAGCCCAGCATCCTGTGTCTCTCTGGGTGCGCCGCGGGCTAAGGGGAGGTGTCACATTTGTTCATAAAGAAAACCTCCCGCAAAGCCAGCCGCCGCCTAATTCCTCGAGGTTTGCTGGTGGAGACGGCCAAGCGCCCAAACAGGCCAAGCCGAAGGTTATGCGGGACTCCCTTCTCTTTGCTGCTGGGGCCCCGGGGGAGGGGGGGGAGGCTGATCATCACGAGGGAGGCCGGTTCCCAGCAGCAGCTTCAGGAGCCGCCGTCACGCCGTCGGGATTGTAGCGCGGGAAGCCGCCAGGAGCCTGTCCGGCTTGCCTCCACGTCTAGTGGCGCCAGATCGCAGTGGGGTGGGGCCGAGTCTAGGCGAGCGAGAAGGAGCGCTGAGTGATTCAGGCTGGGCTGCCGAGGGAAGGCTGCCGCGGTCCTCTTGCCTCGGGGCGTGTGTGTGTGTGTGTGTGTGTGTGTGTGTGTGTGTGTATACGTACGTTTGTGTGCGCGCGGGACAATGCCGCCGGCAGTCGGCGCGACCCCGGCTGAGCTCCTCTGAAAATGTGCCCTCGCGGCTCTTAAATACCCTTCAGGAATGAATGCCTGACGCCGCCGTTCAACAAGTGCAGCGCTGGAGAAGCCCGAAGGCCGCTCAGGATCAGCCCCTCGGAGTCAGAAGGGAGAGCCCAGAGAATAGACAAAGTGCGCCCTTCTGCCTGAAGGGACGATTAGTTCCACGACAGGAGCTAATTGGCGGGTGGCAGGAAGAACTAGATTTCATTCTGGGAAAGAGACAGGAAGAAAAATAGGCGCCTCCAGCTTCAGCAGGAGAGATAGAGGGGGGGGGGCTTCTCCCTCAGCACGGAGTCTGCCCAAGTTGAAAACCTCAGAAGACAGAAAAACGACTCTCCAAGAAAACTACGGATGGAATCCAATACGGTGCAAACAATAATTTATTTAAATAATCTCTTCATATTGTAAAAGTAACATTGAGTGATTTTTTTTGTTTGGTTTTTGTAATAAATAACCAAGAACATACATTAAAAAAAACGTTTTAAAGGTTTTTTTAAACTACGAATTGGGAAAATTCAGTAGCTCGTACTTTGTGGTAATGAAGATGAAAAGAATAAAACAGAATAACAAAGAAACGTATGGAAGCTGCCTGGAGAGAAAAGAGGGAAAAATGATCGGTTCACAAAACATGAACAAATGTAGCCTGTCCCATAAAACTGCCCTTCCTCTTTTTTAAGGCAAAGAAGTTGGGGACAATTAGCACAAACAACTCTATTACAAACATATATATATGTATGTATGTATATATTTATATCTTTTTCTTGCGAAGAAAAAGTCCTGCAAACATTAAAAAAAGATAATTTAAACACAGCTGGGTTTCTTTTTCCATTTTAAATATCTACATATAAAAATTATTTATCTTTTTTCCCCCCCAACATCAAAATGAGGTCATCTGCAAAGGCACCTATAAAAACGTATAAAAAAATAAACAAAATTAAATAAGAAATTTTGCACTAGCGATTGGATGAAAAAATGGGAGAAAAGTTGATCTGTGCTCGCCGTGTGCACAGTCTTATTTGCTGCAGACTTAGGCGGGGTGCGGAGAAGGTAAAAGCTGGTGGAAAAAAGGGGCTGGTATAAAAGATTAGGTCGAGGTGATGGGGCGGGTGGTCAGCAAACCCCGGAGGAGAAAAACAATCATTGAGAGCTTTTGACCAAGGGTGTGGACCACAGCTTGGCCCGGATTTCACGCTTGTCAATAAGAACGTTGTCAGCGGCTTTAAGAGTCACCGACTGGGTGAGTCTCATTCTAAGCCGAGGTTTTTTTTGGGGGGGGGGGGAAGAAGGGGAACTAGATTCTGATTGAGTCCAAAAACTTCAGGGGTTATCGCTGAAGTTTCAAGGCGCTTGTCCCGTTTGGCCCCACCAAGTCGGGCGGGCGCCGCGGCTGAGATGTTTTCGGGTGGGGAAGGAATTGCGGACCCTTTCCCAAAGCACCGGGGCTGTGTGTGTGTGTGTGCGTGCGTGTGTGTGTGTGTGTGTGTGCGTGTAGGGGATACACCTCTGCCCACCGGAACAGAAAAAAAAGGCTTCCTTCTCCACCCTGGACAGTCCCTCGGAGAGTAGATGGGTGCACGGGCTGGGGGTTAGAATATAGTCCCTGCGCTGACGGCCGCGCCGTGGTGATGGGCATGGTGAAGGTGGGGGTGATGCTGGTGAGACTGCCCTTGCTGCAGGATCGGGGAGGCTCCTGGCAGGTGGGAAGCCGCCGCGCCGGACGCCTGGTGATACCACGAGTAGTTACCCAGGAAAGCGGCGGCTCCGCTGGGGGTGCCGGGGCTCGAGCCGCCGCTGCCCCCGCCGCCGCCGCCGCCGCCGTTACTCATTCGCTGCGGGTGGGGAGCAAAGTCCCAGGCTAGGGTGGCTGAAGCAGGAGGCGAGGCGCAAGGAGGAGAGGGGCTGCCGACGCGCTGCTGGTCTCCCGGGATTTCCCCGCTTTTCCACATCTTCTTGAACTTGGATCTGCGGTTCTGAAACCAGATCTTCACCTTGCCAAAGAGAAAGAGGGAAAAAGCGGGGATGAGCGGGAGGCATTAACAGCCCAGGCGTTTTCTATCTATTCACAAATACACATAAATGCCCACAACAATTGCCCGTCTCCCCTGCAGGTCGTTCAACTTCCAGGGTTCTCCCACCCCGCCGGCCGTGCTCTGAGTACCGGTATTTAAGGGAGGGTACCAAATTCCCGGGTTTTTTGTTTTTTTTTGCTAGCGGTTCACACGGCCTACCTGATTTGTTGTTTCTGCCAGGCTGGAAGAATTGTCGACCCCAAGATCTGTGGCTAAGAGGTCCCCAAAACAGACTTTTGAGGGCCAGGGAAACTCACAGGTCAGTTGGGAGCAGTCAGAAGAGGTTACAACAGGGCAAGGAGTTTGATCAAGGGACGTTTGATCAGGAAAGGTCTCCTATTATTTTGAATTAGTGAATTCTTTGCATGGCGAAGGGACAATACTGCTGGGATGTTCCCCAAAAATACCTGAGGCCGCCAATGTAGAGAATCTGCCCAGATAAGACAGTGTGAAGAATGATGGCTCTCCAGCATCTTCCAAAGGCATAAATTGAGATTTAGGTCCAAGAACCTGCTTTTCTTGCTGAGTCGGCATGCCTTTCTTTCTGGGTTTTTATTCCTGGCTGACCTCCCCATTTTTAATAAAAAATGTCATGGGACTGGATCCAACTACGGATCAAGAAAGAACTGGAAAGGGGGAGGACAGGTTGTCTGGGCTGAAAGAAAATGTGAGGGTCACATTTAATTTCAAATAAGAGTTGATGAAAGATCCTGGCATTAAGTTGCCCTGATATTAGAGCACTTTTGCCTCCATCAGTCTGCACAAAAAGGGAGATGGGAGATCCCACCTGGTGCTCTTAGCGTTGTCTTCAATCAAGACTCCTAATCTGTTTGTTAACTCCATTGCTGGATTGGCACAATGCCTTGGACCATAAATCGACCACATTAGCTGGACTTGAGCAAGCTGCACTCACACAGAACTAGCCAAGATCAAAACTTGCATCCAACTTGACACGCAAGCATAGGTACTTCACTGATCTGGTTAAGGAAATTGCTCCCTTCTGGTGTCTTCTTACCTGAGTTTGGGTGAGGCCTAGTGAAGCTGCCAACTCAGCTCTCTCAGGCAGTGCCAGATATTGGGTCTTCTGGAAGCGTCTCTGTAGGGCTGCCAACTGAAAACTGGAATAAATGGTTCTCGGCTTTCGCACTTTCTTTGGCTTCCCATTAACTATTCGGATCTCCGGCTCGCCCTCTTCTTTTTCTGTGGCAAGAAAGGAAAATGAGTGAATAATCTGATTCCAGCAATATACGCCCCAGTTTTTTGGGGGAGGGGATGAGCTCTGGAGCCTCCATGAAATACGGTTACAGTGCCTTGCTCTGCAAAGATGGGTCAAAAGATCCCAGTGCCACAATGCCATGCAGGAGCTATTTGGGCAAGCTCTCTCTCCTCCGCCCCCCCATTCCTAACTAAATAATTCAGCCTTAATAAATCAGAAGGAAAAAAAAGGGGAGAACACCACATTTTGTTAGGAACTCCCACCCCCCCCATCTCCTCTGCGCCCAAGAGTCTTACCCGGGTCATTGTTGATTGGGGGCGTCCTTGTCCCATAGGTTGCATAGGAGCTATAGGAGGTGGAATATCCCAGATCATAACTCCCGGCTTTGGTGGAGTAGGGCACTGCGCCGATGCCATTAGGGTGGTACTGGTAAGAGCCCATCTGGGCGTAGGGCGACCCACTGCTTCCGTTGCTACTTGCGCCGCCTCCTCCTCCTCCTCCTCCACCGCTGTGCTGTTGCTGGTTTGTGTAGTAGCTGCTGTCCGTGGCGGTTGACACAGGCAGAGTGGGAGATTCCTGGGGCTTATGCAAGCTGTGGTGCTGCTGCTGCTGCTGCTGGTAACTGCTGGAGGTAATCTGGTTTGAATGCATATCTGAAACAAGGCTGTCAAAGACGCCAGTCATCCTGGTCCTCTATCCCCGCCCCTCTCCCTCCCGCCCTCCCTCCGTCGCTCGCTCGCTCCCACCCTCGCTCGCTCGCTCGCTCGCTCCAAGAGCACAGGATCGCGAGCAGCAGGGAGGGAAACTAACTCGGAGTTTCCTATCCGCCACAGGCCGAGCCGCAAAGTCTTGCCCTCTTTTCCCTTCGTTGGGGGTGGTGGTGGTGGTGGTGGTGGGGGGGGGGTTTCCAAGGAAAAAAAAGAGGCGAGATCACTGGAGATCCCTAGGGCTGGCCGCCGCCGGCACCGCCTGAGTTGCGGGAGGAAGAGGGCAGAAAGTTGCCATCGCCGTCCGGCTCGGCTCCAAACTTTTGCGCTTCTGAAAAGGCAGAGGCGATCCACCCCGGGCAGCAGATCGCACCAATGCTCAGCCCCGGCTCCCCAGCAGCGCCTTTACGATTGTCTGCGGCTCGTGGATGCTGCCAGGTGGGCATTTAACACCAGTCACATGAGCGCGGGCTACGTCACCTAGCAACAGCCAATCGGGGCCTTCCTTCTCGTTGTCTTCTTTCTCTTTTCTTTCCCTCGGCCCTCCCGCCTCCCTGCCTCCTCCTCGCTTCTAATCTTCGGATCCCCGGGGCGGTGGAGGCGCCTCGCAGATGACACGCGCTGGGAAGGGAGGGGAAAGCGGCGCGGGTGGGGGATGGGTGGGGTGGGGGAAATACCGAGAGAGAGAGAGAGGGGGGGGGGACGCTCCGGGGAAAGGGAGGCTTAATTAACCCGAAAAGGAAGCGCATTGTTTTGGCTCCTTTTGCTGAGTTGCGTTTGAAAGCTTGCACGGTTTGGTTTCGAAGAGATGAGCGAGTCAGGTCAGATCCAAGCCCAAGGACTGAAGTTTAGTTTGGAGGAAAGCGGCTCCTTAGCTGAGGATCCCGTTTGCAACCTGGCCGCCGAGATCCCCGGCGAGCTCGCCAGCCGTCGCCCAACCCGTGTTACTCCAGCTTGCACACGTGCGAGGAAAAGGTCGTTGGGACGTCTCTTTTGTCGTGCTGCTTCTCTTAGACCGAGGATGCTAGCCCCAGTGCGTGATAATATGATGAAGTCTCCTAAACTGAACTCAAGGTGCTCGGGAGAAAAGGGGATTGCAAAGCACGACCCTGGGTTTTTTTTTTGCCCGTTTTGGAAACGACCCCCCTCTCTAAGATCTTAGTTTTTTTATTTCCTTTTCGTCAGGCAAACTTCAGTATGGCCGTGAAGACTCTCAGTCTTTCAAGTCGCGGTCGTCCCAAAGGTGTTTTTCAAAAAGCAACAGGACTTTGTTTTTTTTTTTTTAAATAAATTTCCTCTTGAAAACATTTCGCTTCTCGAGAAGAGAAACGTTTTCAAAGGAAAAAAACAAAAACAAAACCCCACACCCAGTTGCTTATTGAAAAAAACACCTTTGGGATAAACTTCAGTAGCTGCGGCTTTGATCCCACTCCTCCCCGCCGAACACCCAGCCCTACCCCGTTTCTTCCCAAACCACAACCTGCAACGCGGCGGGCGGGTGGGTGGGGAAGGCGGGGTTTTAAGCCTTGTGTAGAAGATTGGGGTGATGTTTGGGGAGAGGAAAGGCAAGTGCTTACAAAACGAAAGGAAGATCAGAGTCGCCTACAGTAATCCAGGCTTCACCTACCTGGCGCCCTCCAGAAATCTTGGTTTAGATCTCTCATCATCCCAGGTAACGTGGCCCATCCTCCCGGGGAAGAATAGGGCTTTCAGTCAAACGCTTCTTATGGCGCGCGGGGGTGGGTGGGGGAGTTAGTCGGGGTTTAACGCCCCCCCTCGGTTGTCCCCACTTTAAGGAAACGCTGACTCGAAAGGGTGACTGCTTTCTTGGCCTTACCGTTTAGCGCCACTTAGCGGACGACTGTTGCTACTGAAGACCGGAGGAGACCGGGTAATCGCACCTAGGCGCCAGGCTCTTCAATCACCGAGCCCAGCAAAACAGTAATTAAAAGCCACAACACTGAGCCAGCGCACATCCTCTGAAATCCTCAGAAGAAAGAGACATACCTGTGCGGGAGAACCAACTTGTTGCAACAGCTGCTAACGGAGAAAGCAAGTTAGCCTGTAAGAAATTAAAACAGCATCAAATCTACCTCCCTTTCCCCTCCCCCCCCCCGTCTCTTATCACATCCACCTTTTGTTTAAAAGTGAGTTTGCCACCATCAGCCCTGTGGCAATGCTGGGCATCCTGAAGGATCCTGTAGTGAAGTCAAATGCTTCCCATTGTCAGTGGAAAGAATACTGGTTTGGGTAGGTAGCTTTCTTAGAGGCTTTTTGTTTGATTTTTGGCCACTTCTTTCTCACACAACTCTTTGTAGAAAGAGAATACTATTTGGAAAAGATGGGTGGGAGGGGAATGATGTGGTTTAGAAAGAAATCCCCCCCCCCCCACGGTTGGCTAGGGCAATTGGATGATTTTTCCAGGACCATCTTGCTTTATTGCAAGTTACTGGGAAAGCTAGCAACAAAGCTTGGGAGTTGTTCTTCAGCTGTCACATCCTCTCCTTGGTACAATGTTGATCTTAAAAGCAGGGTTTTGAATTCCTCCTTAATTTTGCTGACTTCCCTGCCCCACTCACCTAACCTGCTTCATACTAGCTGCACTCCCTCCAAGCCAGTATCTCATTTCAGCTTTCCTGACTGCATCTCATCTCCCCAGCTTGTTTTGAGCCAGTTCTTGCTCTTCTTCCCTCCCTGTTGACTCAGACTTGGTCCTCAGGCTCAGGAGACGCCTTTTGACTGCAGATGCAAAGTGCACCAGGAAGTTTGGACTAAACAGCAACCAGAAAAGGTTGATCTGAAGGAGAAAAACATGTTTAGTGACCCCAAAACTTCAGGAAAAGAGTTAACCTACCTGACGCCAATCATTACTTCATTTAGGACCTTTAGATGCAAGAACAAAAAGTTAATTTATAATATTTTTTTATATCAAACTGGAAGGAAAAGTGGCCTAAAATGTTATCTTGGACATAACATAACATAGAGCAACTATTGATGCAGGTTAAAAATGGGAACATTTTAAATGTACAGGAAATATTAAAATAATCTAATAATAACATGAACAGAATGTAATGGCAAGGAAAAACATTTCCTGGTCTATTTCCACAAAAGATCAAGGGAAAAGTGGATAAAGATTGAACCTGGCAATGGCTTACAATTGGAACATTAAAAAAAAGAAACTGAAGGCTTGATTTTGGCTGCACAAGAGCACAACTGAACAATCATAAAATGATTTAAAACGCAAAGAAGCAAAAGAAATAGCAGTCCATATATTCAGCTTGCCCAATATTGCACAAAAGGGTTATAAACAATGACACAACAAGGTCATCAAAATAATTCACTGGAACATCTGTAAAAAATACCATGGAGCAGTAATGAAAAATTAGTGGGAACATATAGCTGAAAAATTAAAATATTGTGGGATTTCTAAATACAGACTGATAAAGGTTTGACTCATAGCACACTAGATACAACTGTAATTGAAAAGAAAAAGTGTGGATAATTGATGTGGTAATACCAGGGGAACAGTAGAATAGAAGATAAAGAATTGCAGAAGATCACAAAATATCAAGATCTGTATTTTAAATTGGAATTATTATGGCATAAAATGGCCATTGAGTGCTTATCAGCACACTCAGTGCAATACTAAAAAAAAAAAATCTTAGAAGGCACTTAGAAAATCTGTGCATTGACAACATTTTCATCTGTCAAGTTAAAAGGCTACATGTTTTGGATCTGCACATATGCTGTACCAACGCATCACAACATCCAGGTTCTTGGGAAGAGTTCAGTATTCAAGGCCACCTAAAGAACTGGCAGCTGTGACTTCACATTTTTGTGTACATAATAATATACATAAGTCTTACCTTGTGGGTGATATTAGGTCTTCTAATATTGCTGCCTGAGTAGGTCTGGGGACACAGTGGTATCTTCTTCAATTATAGTGTCTGGTTCCCATGTCCCACAGTTCATATGATCTGTTGCTATTGCTGAGTAGCTTTTTTTTTTTTTTGGTGCGTGTGGGGGCTATAAACAAGTGTAGCCCTATCATTCAGGCCTTACAAAACAGACATGTAATTGTCCAGGATGGGCTGCAGGTCATTGATGATATGTCTGACTGCGTTTTAGTTGAAGAGTGACAAGCGATATTCTGTTTTCTTTCCTGATTATTTTCTTTAGATCTTTCATAAATACCAGTGAGCCCTCTTTTTTTTTTTTAAAAAAAAAATATTGTTGAGTAGATGCCGTACTTTGAGAAATGTCTGATTTAAATCCTTAACTTGTGAGTCTGACAAGTCTGAACAGATTTGGTTGTTATATGTGGGATGTCAGTAGAAGATGAATTCTTGTGTATTTCGAGCAAAAAGGTACAAGAATCTAGTCTGGTGTTGTTATTTCCTTTCTGTGTATGCCATGGCAGTTTCTAGGAAGCGACCCATTTGCATGATTTAATTCAAACCTAAGTTGATTGTATGGTAAAATTTATTGAATTCCAAGTAGAATTTTGCTAGGATTTTGTCTCCATGTGTCTAGTTTTATTTTTATTTAAAATGCCGTAGTGTTGTTCAGATGGAGAAGTTGTGGAGAATAGGAACTATATGGAAACATGGTCATATTTCAGGTTTAAGGTGTGATGTTTGTATGCAGTCACGTACATATTCATAGGAATGTTAACTGATCTGAAGTCATTTTATTTGCCTCTTGCGGGTAATTACAAAGATATGAAGGCTTAATATATGGGGACAATGAAAAATGAAAATCCTAATGGTTTTTAATTTATCTTTCTGGGATAGGTTTCTATAAAAGGACTCAGCATCTGTGGCAGTTGGAAAGTTGTTTCTTGAGAGATTACCAGTTCAGTTGCCTTTTCTTGGAAAATAATTTATATTCTGTCACTTGTAATAGAAGAGCAACATTCTATTGTCTCTTCTCCCTTGGGCAGTGTCCTGAAGAACAAAGAATTTCAAAGGCAGATTA